TACAGACAAAGACACATTTAATAATGTTTGCATAGATTTTCTTGCATACGAAGTATACAATTGAACGAGAAAGTTGTCCACATTCGAACTGTTCTTAATAAAATTGTGTACGCATTACAATAATTATTATTTCAACAGAACTCTAGGTCAAGTCCAAATAATTTAAGAAATCACTTTTATATTCAAGGATTTGGGCCGTTTAAAATTTTAATTTCAATAAATGTCAGATGGCGCAAACGAATTTAAACATTGCAAAAGAGGGTTGGGAAGGGCAAATGTATTATGAGCACGAGGGCCTAGGTCCAAATCCCAAGTAAAGGTAAAAGATAATGGTTTAGGACGACAGGGCACGATCAGTGAAACGGACACAGAAATGTGTTCGCCTAAGGGCCCATAGAAGAAACGGAATGCATGAAGCTAAATAATAAATAATTACTATTTAATGACGGAAGAATATACATTAGGTTTTCTTGATGTAAGGAAAAATATTACAACCATATAACATTCGATTACTCTATTTAATAACTTTACGACTTTTCCGTCGTCTGGGCGAAGATTTCCATCAAAATTTAACCATAATATTATATATAACGGACACATTATTGTATCTTTTTTAGACTGCTCAACCAAAACAACTATTCAAATTGTTAGGTATTGTCTGTAGTGCATGCGAGTAGTACATATTTAAATAAAACACTATTACCTGTTTAAAAATCAAAATATATAAGCATGCTTTGCCGCGAACACGACTGCTGCACTAATATATTTCATGTTTTAAACTGTTAAGTATTTTATTTGAATTCAGAAATGTTTTCAACTTTGCTGTGTAACTAGAGATACTTGGACTTGGAAAAATTGTGAAACATCGCGGAAAACTATTGTCGCGGGTTGGAAGCCCGACAATAATAATTTAAAAATAATTAAACAAAAAATGTGTTTAAATAAAACACTTTAACGGTTTAAAACGCGATATATTAGTTAAACTTATTTGAAAATGATTTTGTCTCCCCGTGACCACGGCTGCTGCAAAGCATCCGAAACGTCGGGCCGAAGTTAAAAATCATTTTCAAATAAGTTTAACTTATATATCTCGTTTTAAACCGTTAAAGTGTTTTATTTAAATTTCTACTACTCGCGTAAACTATAGACAGTAAAAAATGTGTATTAAAATAATTGTGGCTCTCTCCTATATTGAAGTATAGTCGGTAATTAGAGCTTAAATGTTTTTTAATCTACCAGCCATTAATGATATACCGACTGTGGTATTATAGGAATTCTTATTGATCGTGTAATAGTAATTTTATTATTATATCAATTAGAAAGGTATGTCGGCCCGTTTATTACAGTTGCTTATCACTAAGTTAATTCAAAATAAATCGAGATTGTATTACTTCTATTATTGTTTCTTTGTTTTATAATCTGTGTTATCAATTCTTATCAAAACTAATCGGGGAACGGTAAATAGCTTTTTTGTGGTATTGTGGAAATGAAAAAGCTTGTTAAATACTAAGTTATTCGTGTGTGAGGTCGTTTTTTGATATGGCATGTGTAGGAGATATTGACTGACCCAACAACCCGACAAACAATAGTTGTATATGTATTCTAGCTCTTAACAAAAAAAAGTTACCCTATATAACAAAACTATACAATAGGGATACACATACAGACATTAAAAAATGCAAGTTTGTCTGTAGTTTGCGCAAATTGTACACATTTAAATGAAGCACTTTTGACGGTTGAAACAGCAAAGTTATTAATTATCTTTGTTTTAAATACGGTACGAGGTCTAGGATGCTTTGCAGCAGCCCCTTAACGTCGGCCATGTTTCTTGAATGTTTAAAACTGGGATGTTTGGGATTGGATACTTGTCAAACGTAACGCTAAAATGTGGGCTAACGTTACTTTTAGATGACAGGTTCTGGGCTCGAATCCAGGGGAGTTAACAATTGTTTCAGTTGTGTAGGACTAAAATGTAACTAAAAGTCTTCTAAAAACCTGTTCGAAATCACATACCTTATGGCGTAAAGCATTTAAACCGTATTTTATTGCTGCTTTTAGCAACAATTTAAATATATCTACTTATGGGTCATTGACAATCGCAGTTTAACTCCGAAATTAATGAGCTCTATCAATGTATATAATTCCGTCTTCACTTACGTAACAAGTAAATATTTATCTCGATATTTAAACAGTATTTTACTATAAAGTTTTTACACGAACCGTACTTAAGAGTTATTGCTTATTTTCATTTATTTCCCACGCTTCAGATTTTATATTGGCAATTGAGATTAACTAACCAATAAAAGTATATTAGGCTACCCAAAAAGTTTATATTGCGGGTATCCGACGCAAAAAGAAAAATACAATGACATTTGTGCCTTTAAATAAGCTCGAAGCCTAGTTGTTTTAAAACAAAACAATATTTATAAACAAGTTTTAAGCATCTAAGTTTAATCGTTGAAACATGTTTCCAAAGCAACTACATTATTAAAATAAACGTATCGAATTATACTGGGCAAATTAATTAAAAAAACCTTGTACGCGTCGCGCCCAGCTAAAGGGCTCGACGGGGAACATAACGAAAAATACTTTTTAATAGAAAGACTTGTCTGTTTATAATTTTGAATATAACAATCTCTAGCGTATAGCTGCGTAAGATTGGATAAATATCAGAATAATTAAAAAAAACTTCGTTTTTCAATGGTTAAGTGCGAAAGGGTTTAATTTGAAGATTATAAATTCTTTTGAACGGGCAGAGCATAGTTGTGTCATTTGCTTGCTAATAAATAGGCACAGACGTGGGTTTATTTTAAAAATTATTCTCCGAGAATCTACAGAGCATCCGACATATCACGTTGGGAGTAGTAAAAAACAGTATATTTTGCGTTTTAAACAGTTAAAAGTAATATTGAAATGCTTAGTGTTTACCTAATTTTTATTAAAAACATCTCATACACACATATACTATTTTACACAACACATTTACCATTATACAGAACATACAATGTAAGCGTTAATATATAATGAAACTTACATATATTTCAATTTTAACACGAATATTGTATCAAATACGCCATTTCTGGTTTTGCTACATTCATAACGATCGTAAGAAGTACTTTGTAATTATCTCCAGTATGAATGATGCAGGAAAAATAATGAAAATGTAGGAAAACTGAGTGGCCTTCAAAATATCATAGATGTTCAAATAATTATAACAGCATAAGTAATAACTAATAACTGAATTTACCATCAAAACTTGAAATCGTACGAAGTGAACCGTGCAGCGATAACAAAAGAAAATCCTTCTGGAATTTTAACAACATCAACCCTTGAATATTACTCACAGCTGCGATTCGTGAATCCTTAGTGATTCCTTCCATCTACCGCTGGATAAATGCGTGTTTAAACTTTAACGGTTAGTTACTGCGTCTCGACGTTTCGGATTTGTAAACAAGTTAAACTAATAAATTTCGCGTTTTAAACCGTTTAAGTTATTCTTTTTTTGAAGTGATAGTGAGGTGAGGAGAACTTGATGGTAGGTAATATCCCAGCCTATAGCATCTAAGCAAGATGCGCGGTCGACCTATTTTGATTATATTCGAAAATATCTGAATCCGAAACGTGATTAAACTTTGACTCTTTCGTGACCCGGACTTTTTCTATCACCCACTTAATATCCAGAGACATTGATTAGAAAAATATTACCCGTTAGGGGTCAAACCCACGGTCCGTTGATTATTAGCCTACCTAATGGTAAAATGTAATCATCAATGAGCGTAAACTACAGACATTATTTATATGAGTGTTCGTTGTTACAAGTTAGAAACTTGGGATGCAGGATTTAACATTATACTAAGATTTAGATTTTAAATTACTTATAAATGATTATTTTAATTTAAAAATCGAAAATAAATTGAAAACATTTTTCGACTCGGGAAGGACTTCGAATCGTCAGCGTTCCAGAGCAACGGCACGGAATTTTAAATTATATATAATATAATTTTAAATTATATAGTGCCTTCATGTGCAATAACATGTGAAACATATTAATGTTTTCAAATAATTATTTTGTTGATGCGTTTAGAGCTTTTAGCGAGTTTTTCTTATTTAATTTTTAAGTATTTTAATGTCACATCCGTACGTGACTTTAAAAAGGTGTAAATTAAAACATCAGCCAACATTTATTTCTTAAGTGGCCATTATCATAATATTCCATCTTAAAATTGTTTTAAAAGCGGATTTGAAACGACGTTTTATTATCTATCCTCTACATTAATTAGGTTAAGAATTTTAAAAAGCGCAAATGAATTAATTAAAGAAAAAATAAGTTGGATAACAATAATTATTAGTAAGTTGCCAACACAGTAAGAATATAAAAAATATTTTTAAGTTAAATACGCGAAATGTATTATTAAACTTGTTTAATTAACCCCGGACGATGTTGTGGTTGCTTTCCAGCAGATGTGGTAACGGGGGCTTAAAGATCGAATGTGTCCCTGATGTCAATAAATTTTGCATTTTAACAGTTAAAAGTGTTTTATTCAAATTTGGTGTACAAATTTGAATAAAACACTTTTAACTGTTAACTTTTAACGCGTAAACCACAGATAGTATTTTAAAAAATGTAACTTTTTATATGATAGCGAAAGAAAACATCCAACGAAAGCCTTCCAGGAAGTTAAGATAAATCCTGCAATAGGTAACAATATATAATAATTCTTATTAAATTTAATTTTATATAATTCATTCAGTAAATAAAAACTCTAGGCAACGTACAACTGTGTAATATTATTCGCAAATATTACCTAACACACGCCACACTAGTTCCAATATTTCAGCTAATTCCAAATTTAAAACTTTAGAAAAAACTATACGTTCGAAGGTTTTTTTCAGGTGCCTAGTAAATCAAAGCGCACATTGCGCAAACAGGAATCGATCCCAGGTTAGTTATTTTAAAATTATTTATATCGTGCTTTTTTATCGCCTAAATTTCAACTCACCGTTCATTTTTTCAATCCAAATTAGCACTATTATCACAGACTATTAACTGACTTGTCCAGATCACGAGTGATTCGTGGAGTCCAGCGATGGAGCTGATACGCGAACAATCTGACACCAAATGCGTCCACAACGCCTGCGGCGCGCTATAATAAAGAAACGCTCGACTACGTCATGCGTGAGACTAGCGTATGCGTACGAGTGTTTAAATACCAGACTAATGGAAAAACGCTAAGTGATAAAGCGCTGGAGGATCATGGTTCGAATTTTGTTATACTTTAGAGCCAGATGTGCTAATTGCTTGCTTGTAGACACAAAAGCGTGTCTGCTTTAAAAAATAGGTTTGCGTTTAATTTAATTTCTAAATTAAATTCCAAAAATCATTGCTTTGAAGATGAAGAAAAAGAAAAAATAAAGGTAATTACTAGATAAGCCACACAAAAATATATAAAGCTTATTACCAAATACATATAAAAATAAAGCATAAATCTTAACAATATAAATTATAATGTTATGTATTGCTTGTTGGTAGAGTAGTATCTTACTCAGCGTATGATTAATCGGAAATTGATTTTCAAGTCCTTAGAATGTGGACAGCAGTATCATGCGCAAGAGACGATGAAAAAATTACTTTGTTGCAAAAATATAAAAAACAGTAAACTTTGAGAGTCTCCCCTTGACCACGACTGCTTAAAGTGTTTTATTTAAATAGTATTTTTTTTAGATAGGTACTATAATTGCATATAGACATTGATAAAGGTATGTACAGACAGCGATCGTTAACATTTTTATTATATTGTGTATACATAGAATTTAAAGATTGTAAACAAAAAATAGATTCCAACCAATTGGTTTTTTAACAATGGGAGGTAGGTAGGTGCCGCCCTGTATATTTATAAATAAAAACCATACAAAATTTACCAATGACACAAGACGACCAGTAGCAAATGTAATCGGCCGATTAGTCTTTGGGTTTTAGCAGATCCCCGTGACCTTGACTGCTGCAAAGCATCCGAAACTTCGGACCGTAGTTAAAGTAATTTCCAAATTTAACTAATATATATTGCGTTTTAAACCTTTAATGTGTACTACTCGCGAAAACTACAGACAGTATTTCTTAGCATATTCTTAAACATTGGTTTAAATGTTTCGTTACTATATCTTAAAAATTAAAAAAAATGTTAAACTTCTTTCTTAAATTGATATCTCTATCTACCACAAATGAACCCTCTTATGACAAATATATTTATTAGTCATTTTTATATCCTTTTACAAATTAGAACAAAGAAAATATTTGTAAATAAAATGACTGTCTGTATTTAATATTCACAGTTATGTGGAAATTGAAAAAAATACTGTGAATAATTATTTTTTAAATTAATTTAAATGCCTTCTGTCCGACGAAGGGGAGTTTCCCGTTGTATAAAAACAGTAATTGCTCGGCTTATATTTCAATTTTCTGTTATGTTTTTAAGGTAGATAAAAAATCATATATCCTGTGAACACAAAAAAATCATTAAAGGGAAAAACGAACAAGGAAAATGCTCTGGAGTCAAAGTTTCCTAACAATATTAAACTAAAACGATGTAAGTGTATAAAAGTGGCATTTTACATAAAAAAAACCCACCACTCCATTTCATCGTAAAAAATGACACAACAATCTATAATTTAATGTCAATCGTTGCATTGATGTTGCTTTATATAGGATAACTTATTGCAATCTACACTAATATCATAAAGTTGAAAAGTATGTTTGTTTAAACGCGTTAATCTCAGGAACCATTGGTTCGAATTGAATTGATCATTTATACAAAGGCTTTAGAATATATAACATCACACTAGTACCGATAAGAGTGAAGGACAATGGGAAATAACGGAGACACTTTTCGTTGTGTGTAGGTATCAAAAAATATATATGAAAGATTGATTCCTCTTTAAATTATCTAAAAAAATGTCCACGACGGTATACCTGTCTCTTTTAAAATTAACTCGGCAGAGTCGTTCTTATGATAATAAAATTTAGACAAAATGTATGCTTTGTTAGTAATTATTTGTGTGAGTGGTATCTAAGTAATCATATTAATCTTCCACACTACAAACTTTTGCCGGAACTGCTAATAACTGGATAAAGAGATATAAGATAATATTAAAAAGCTAAATTATTATAAAGCCGTTTTTTGTATCCAGACAAATAATCCCTTATAATACATAAATCTTACTTAATTCTGTTTTTTACATTGTGATAATATGTACTCAAATGAAAACGGAAGAAAAAGGTGAAAAATAACTATGATCTTAAGAAGCTAAAGTGTAAGGTCGTGGGGTTATCAAGTTGTTTGATATTTATTAAAGGGTAAACCATCTTGTTCTCAGTTTTTCAATGGCAAAACTTATTGCGTTTGGATATTCGGAAATCCACACACTGTTCCCCGGCTTCTTCACCTGCGATGGGGGTTCGTAACCTGGACGGTATTTCGATATTTCTAAATAATAGACTATTTGTAAATAATAGACAGTCAAGCAGAATTAGAATTGATTCTGCCCCAGTATCAAGTTTACTTAAAACCGACTTATATTATATATTAATTACTAAGAAAAGATGCCGGTGAGACTAATAGTCAGTGCCAAAATCTAGACGCAGACAGTATTTCTTAGTTTAAGATTTTAAAACTTTGTGCCATCCATCTGATTGTGGTTTAAAAAATGCCTCTTAGCTACAGGCATCAACTAAACTAAAGTCATTGACCACGACCGCCAACCAAAAACAGTGCAAATTATTATCTTTTTGATGTTTAATAAAATATTGTTTATTTGTAGTACTTATTTTTTTTAACGCAAAACGTTAAAACATAGTGCCACTTGTACATATCAATATCTCTCAAATGATTCAATATTTCATATTTTCTTGAATACTGCGAGATAAAGCTATAATTCTAGAAAAAAAATAATCCATTTAATCCACTAAGTAATTGATAACGTATTTTCGAAATTATTTTACGAAATTAAATACGGTTTTTAATACAATATTTAAAATGGTAAATATATTCATATAAACAATTTCATAGTACCTACATACTGACGTACCTACATAACTTCGGCCCTGACGTTTCGGATGCTTTGCAGCAGCCGTGGTCACTGGAGACTGGGGAGACTCACACACAGGAAACGTTAAGAATCACTTTCAAATAACTTTAACTAATATATCGCGTTTTAAACCGTTAAAATATTTTATTTGAATATTAGATTGAGTTAAATTAAAAAACGATTATAAATTGAAAAAGTTTACGACGCGGCTTGAACCGAGATCCACAGCGTTTCGTGCTGTCGCTCCAACCAACTGAGCTACCGTGTCCTACACGACATTGTCCTTTTTTTTAACTTCAATACATGCACCTCTCGCGCAATGTAATTTCCACCTTAACGCTGGCATATAAAGGTTCAACTGCAGGTGAAGAAAATCATTGAAGATGTTTGTTTTACCTTGCTCTATCAGCCTGTTAGCTGTTAGCTAGTTCGTAGTGCATTGACGCGTAGACCTTATACCAGTTAAAAATTAAAACAATATGCCGCAACGGCGTACTCTCTCACCAAAGTCCAAACGAGGTATATCCGATGTTTTTGCATCGGTTTTGCAATTGTGTCAAGTTAGTCTTGTTCTCACGGTTAACCGTTTAGTTTCAAAAGAAGTAAATGTGCATAATTATTACTTTCTTGATGAAGTTTTGCCACATTTTGTTTACATCTGCGATGTCCATGAAACTATACGGAATTGATATATGATACAGTAACGATTTGATACTGTACTGTGAGAGCGATGCTTCTAAACTATTAGGTAAACTGTAGTTTACGCAAGTAGTACTCGTAATAGTATATATGTATTTTTATATAACTTTGTACATAATATACATAACTAATGTATGTCAAATTGTTCTGGTTATCCCGTAGTTAGGATACTACATATGAAGGTCAAGTATTTTTTACGTAAGGTCGTAGATTCCCAACAATATACATTTTTTTAAACACCTGTAAGAAGTTTTTTTCGATTAACCAATTAAAAAAAAAACATTAATAAACAATATAAAGAAATTGATAAATATATTGAGTAATAAAATACAGATAAATATACTATTTAACATAGATCGACCTTAACGGGAAGAACCAACGCAATACGGGTTGCTTCTTCCCGGATCTCTAACTGTTGACTGTGTCAACTTCCTAAATAAAGCACGTTTTACGGTATATAACGAGTTTATGAATTATAACTGGTTAACTTATTTTAATTTAATTTAAGTACAGCCCAACAATTAGTATGCTTTGCAACAACCGTGGCCACGAAGGGATAGAAGGTGTCCCTCAAGTCAAATCGGACACCCTATTACGATAGACGGCGCTAGTGCTGTAAAGCATCCGAAACGACGGGCCGTAGACAAATTAAATAATAATTAGTTAAAATAATATGTAACGTTTTAAACTGTTAAACTGTTTTATTTAAATTCTAAACTATTAATGATAGATTCATCTTTATCGTTCACGTAAAGTTGGGCGGAATTAGACCAGGTGGCAGGCATGCCCTCATTAAGTGTGAAGACGTACGGCGAGTGGCAAGAGAAACATCAAATTCGGTCAAGCCGGTTAAGCGTAAAATAATAATTCTGTTATTTAAATGTATATGAGTATTGTAGTTAGACATCCAAAACCCTTTCTAGCAAGAACGCCAAACTTTAAAAATGGCACACATTACGTTTGTTCAAAATAAGGTTCCACTTGTTCTAGGCACTTGTACAAGAAAAGATATGTTCTCTATATACATGACCTTGTCCATTCTCCAACTAAGAGATCATTGACCTTTCCTCTCAAAAACTTACTTGTTTTTTAAAAATTCAAGATGGAGTTACAAAAAGGGCCTGAGCGGTTCTTTAATTAAAACACAGAAAACTAGCAGGTGCCCGCGACATCAGTCTACGCACGATTACTATTAGGATTACGTTGTATCGCGCATTTAAACTAAA